CTTGCATTTGAGCAATTATGGTAAGCATTGCTTCTAAAGAATTGAACAGATGATTTTAAAATACAGTAAACCTTCATTAACGCGAATCTCAAGGGACCAAAAAATGAAGAGCTCGCTTAAAGAAAAATTCGTGTTAACTCGGAACTCGAAATTTTATTTTTGGAATATTTCCTAGAATTAACCATTTACAGCAGCGTATTTCACACTGTGGGTCGCCAAAACATTTAGCAGTTTTGATATTTCTTTAACTTATTGTAATAATTTTACAATTACCAAATATTTTTATACAATGTATCTCAAAATAGATAAAGATAAGACAACATAGACAAAGAAAAACGTTTCGACGCATTCTTTTTATAACAGAAACGTTCATTTCACTTGCTTTGCACGTGACGCTGTCATTTCGTCTGTTATTTATTTAAAATTTTCACATTGTTCTGTCTTAAAATTAGAAAATAAAGTTAATAACCTAAAACTACAATAGTATGTTACAGTACAAGTGAAAAATTGAGTTTCACACACGTGTGTCGAATTTGCGCAATGCTCGTGGGGTCTCACAAAATTTTAGTAAATATTACAGGGTCCTGGGGGGGGTTGCGACTTAAAAAAGTTTAATAAACCCTGATTTACAGTTTATGGGCACTTACGTTGTACAATATATTACGTATGTCATCATAGAGAATACTACAGTACTACATTAATTAGTGCACTTTAACTTGAAAAAATGTACTCGCAAATCATTTTCTGGAGAAAAATTCCTGTACATTGCGCTGTAGTAGACGAAAAAAAAAAATACCTGGTTACTTCATGGTCAGTTGCACCCATGGCTAACGGTCAATTCAGATGTTGCAGCAAAATGTTCTAAAGTGTCCTAGGCGTGTAACACTTCCTGGCGGTGAGCGGAATAATACTGTTCTTCTCATTCCTTCTTCATGACATTTCTTGCACCTCAGAAACAAAGACAACTAGCTGCTTGTACATCAAATTCCACGGCAGCATATACGACACCCTCGTCATCTGCATTGAGCTGCCCCCCCCAAAGCTTTCTTATAGTAAAGGTAGATATTAGGTACAGTACTGATCATGTTCTTAAAACTAGTTTTTCTCAGATTTACAGATCACTCAAGGATGCTGTTTTTCACTATCGTCTGCATTATTTATAAAACCAACAACTAAATGTTTACTGCTTACTTCATTGCTGCCGTTTATCTCTCACTTTCCCATAGTCATGTAACTATTTGTTTGCTCCTTCTTCAACTTTACTACAGACACTAATGATGAAATTGTCTCTTTTGACCAAACAGCAAAACAACTTAAATCTTGGATGTCTAAATGTTTGCAATCGCGTTTGCTTTTGACTGAATTATATGTCTGCTTAAAAATACACTGGAAGAGCACTTACGGCTGAAACATTCAAGACATGAACTTTGATACCTTTGTACTTAGCTCTGCGAAGTTGCATTAATTTATTACCACAACTCAATGCTTTGACAATCTGTAACCATTGTGGGTACGGTAGATTTGGTAACTGCATAGTTTTAATTTTCTTATAGCACAGTCTACTTCTCCTAAGACTTTTACACTAGTGTGCAAAAATTAAGAACGAAGTCAAAAAATCAGTGGAACGAACAGGCAGAGCGGACTGAGAGTCTAATCGAGAGACCGACTACGGTCAGGTACATTAGCAAATGGACATACATACAGCTAGACGCACTGGAAGAGTGTCGGAGGGATATAAAGGTCACTGGATGTGCAAGCTCATAATTTTGGGAAAGCTATTGCATGGCATATATCAATTTAAAGGACGTCGAGTTGCTGCATCAATCTGAAATGTCGAACAATAAATCTGTTAAGACATTTGGATGCTTTTACCCGAGGTCGAATCATTGGAAAGACTGAAAAAGATTGAAGTGTGACTGTGGAGTCTGGGATTGCTCACAGCATTGTTTCACGAATTTGGAGAGCATTTCAAACTACATGAACGGTTCAGCAGTGGTCGTCCACGAGCAGCCACAGCAGTGGACGACCGGTACATTGCCCTATAGGGAAGAAGGAGCAGTCACCAAACAGCGGGAGAAATCTCAAAACACGTGGAATAGGCGATTGGATAACCGATATTGCGTTTTACCATGGCCACAACAACCTGTCCGGTGTATACCATTAATGCTTGACCATCAGACAAGGTGTTTTCTGTGTTGCAGGTAACACCAGAATTCAACAGATAAATAATGGGATCGAGTACGCTTTACGGATGAGCAGATTTAATCTGAAATGATGAGCGCTCTCTTCAGATGTGTATGCTAGACGCATACACATCTGAAGAGAGCGCTGAACACCCAATAATCCCTTCAACCATTATCAAAGGGGATCGGTTTGGAGGTCGCGAAGTTCTCGCTTGGGGAGGAGACATAATGCTTGGTCGCCGTACAGACCTTGACATCTTCCAAGGAGGTTCAGTCACCGAGCACTGCTATTGTAACGGGGTTCTCCTTCCTTCTATGCATCTTTTCACAGGTATTGTGGGTTCTCAGTTCCTCTTCATGGACAACAACGCTCCACTTCAATGCACAGTTACTGTCGAAGAGCTGTTGGAAGGTGAGGATATTGAACTCATGGATTGGTCGGCAAGGCCTCGGGATTTAAATATCGTGGCACATGTATGGAACATTCTACGAAAACGCATGGCAGCACCTAACTGATGCACATCAGTAACGATTCCGGAACGCCGTTTGGTGCTACAAGTGGAATTAAGCAGTAATGCCTCAACAACTCATTGACAACCTCATATTCAGCATGGACAAATGATGTGAAACCTGCATATCAGTCATGGGAGATATCTCCTACTAAAAGCTGGATATTTCTTGCTGGACACCTGTCACATGGATGTTTGGCCTTCTGCTGCATTGCGCTCCATGCTGCTTTTTCAATAAAGTTCCTTCCTATCATTTTGATTGCTTTTTGGGGACGTTTTGCTTACATTACCCATGTTCTTCCATTTTGGGGATGTTATGATATTACTTTTGTTGATTTGGAAAGCTTTTGCATGTTATATTGGGAAAAAAACCTCCGCCTCGTCCTTAATTTTTGCATACTAGTGTAGTTTTGTTTGCAGATCTATGCCCGTCTGCTTCCTCTTGACATGCACTCTTACTGCTTGTAATTTAATATTAGTCACCGCGTCTTCAATTTTAGAGTGCAATCTACAAGACCGTCAAACATTAAATCTTAGTCGTACTAGCTAAACTTTTATAAGAATAAAAAGGACATCCGAAAACAGAATTGCATTTTCTGATTCAAGCTCTTTGTTGATGCAATGATAGCAGTTGTCGAGCAGTGTTAGTCGTGTTGGCTATGTTTTAAAGAACGTAATGTACGAAGTTTTCAATCAAAAATGACGGAACATTTCTCACGGCGGCCCTAGCATAGAAAGAACAGGGAAAAATATGAAAAACTTTGAAAGTTCATGTTAAATGAAAAAATTTAACGATGCAGTGCACTAAAGCACAGTTTATATATCCTGCGAACCGAAATTCTCGTTAACCAATGAAACTTTCAATAAGATCATGCACATCGCTGCCAGGACCGAAATACTGTTCCATGTTTATAGAATGTTCGCCTTAAGCGAGTTCGTGTTAAGGTGGGCTGTTACTGTAATTGAGTAGTATTTAAGCTCAGCAACACAGTTAAGTAGTTTCTAGTAACTGCGATTGGCAGACTGTTTTCTTATTAAATTAAATCTGACAATCTAGAAACAGTATTTATGAAATTAGGTGATGTATTCGTTTAAAACATGTAATATTTGACTATGACTTTTTATCCTTAAAATTTAGTATAATACTACACAATGGATTAATTTGAAGCAGGATATAAGTAGGCCAAGAAGCTGATGCACATCATCAAATTCAGTTACATTAAATTAATAATTGCAAGCACCAAATTCAAATTGCTGCATTATCGTTTGTTAAAATGCTTATCATATACACAGAAATGCCATTACATTATGACCACCTTTCACCCTCAAAACTGCAAACACTCGGGGCAGCATCGACTAGACAAGGTGCTTTAGTCTGAGCCTAGTCACTCACCAACTGGTCCTGCAATTTCTGCACACTGGGAGGTGATAGTATGGCAGCACAATTTTGGTTTTCCAGGTGGAACCACAAATGTTCGAATGGATTCATTTCAGATGAATCTTAAGGCCAAAACATCATTTGTAATTTCCCAGAATGTTCCTTCAACGATTCAGCTCTTACGACAAGGTGCATTACCCCCTGTTGGTAAATGCTATCACCCAACAAGAACAGTTTCCATGAAAGGGTGCACCTGGTCAACCATGGTGTTCACAGAGCGAACAGATGTCAAGGACTGTTTGGTGGAAACGAATGATTTATTCATAAATCTGAATTTGCATTCATACAAACAAAATTAAAAGATGTTCTTAGAAAAAATGTATGTCATTCATGTTTTTTTTAAATAAAATACTAAGGGATAAATTTTCATAAATCTCTTAACATGTTGCATACATGGAACAAGTTTTAATTTTGTTCCAGTCAAATGAAAATTTTTTTCACATTTGCCTTCAGATACAAAACTACCAGCACTGTGCGCACAAGTTTTGAGGTCATTCTTGCATATTCTCCTAGGTTAAAAGAGGAAAGAAAAGGGGAAGTGGTGCATATTAAAACTGTGTGCAATACTTATTTTTTATTTAAAGAAACATCTCTATAGTGCAAACTGAAATTAATGTAATATCTAATGAACTGGCTTTAACACTCCCATAAAATGATACTACATATGAATCAGGTTTTCATTCCAGTACAACCATATGTGCCTTCAAGCTTCTCAGCCGAAAATAATATTCACTAAATGACACAAAGTAGAAATTGAATTCATAAACATGTGCTTTTTTTATTAACACAATTTTTTTGCTTTCCTTGTTTGTTAAACTTGCCTAAAGTAATTTAATATTGTATTTTATCCCCCCCAAAGTAAGACAAATGCACATTTTAAAATTATTTAATAAATATAATGCAATTTTTAATAAACTTTTAAGAAAAGAACAAGTAGAATCTTTCAAAAAACAAATGATTGCACTAAATAATTATCAATAACATTCACCAATCTTTGCAGTTGAGAGGTAGGGCATAGTTATTTATATTAGGACAATTTGTAATGAACAACATTTCAGAAATATCACTACTAATGCCCAACAAGTATTTTGCAAAGAGTTTCAATAAAATTTTAAATAAAATTTGATGAGAAATATATATATATATATATATATAATTTTATATAATTAGAATCTATAAAATATTGCATTGACAGAAAATAGCTTTAACAAATGAGATTACAAAATAGATCAAAAGACCTACAAAATAAATTTCTCTTTAGATGAGAACGTACCAGGCAAATTACAAATAAATGCATAAAGATGTTTCGTGAAAAATATAAAGAAATTAGATCTATTAACAATAAATAAATATTAAGAACCAGATACAAAAAATAAAATATTAAGAAATAATTCAGTTTTTGCATTAGTTGCATCTTTAAGCGAAACACTGTTATATATTATTACTAAAAAAGTTACATATAGACAGAACCACAACCACACACACACACATATATATCTACATATTATATATAGATATATATATATGTAAAAGTACGTGCATTATACAAAAATTGACAGATAAATTTGCACATACGTTCACATACAATGGCCTGACAATAAATAATTAAAATAAATTGCCCCTTGCAGCAAGTTCATTAAAATATTATCTTTCTTAAGACAGAAAACTTAAAACATGCTAAACAAATATGATCACAATAGATAGCATTTGCTCTCAGATTAGAAGTCTTCTTATTAATGTAACCATTAAATATAAAATGTACTTCTATTCTTAAATTTGAGAAAGACACAATTAAAAAAAATTTAACAAAAGAACAATTACTAAATCCTTGCTTAGAGTGCTTCAGGACAAATTTCACTACAATTATCACTTTACTGGATTATGATGAAATAATTAAAAGCATGATCCAGTAAGCTTTTTCTGAATATAATTAACGAATGCATATTATCTCACATTTATGTTTGTGTACAATTACACAAATATCTAAATATAAATGTACACACACATAGACTTATTAACATCTGATCATGATGAGAATTAAATAAGTAGTACTTTAACCTTGGTAAATACACCATAAATTACAATAACTGTTTTCACAGTCCTCTATAACACCAAAATATAAATTAAAATTACAAATAATTTTTTGCATTAACATCTCAATATATTATTTATATAGGTATATGAAAATAGATAAAATATGTTTATACAAAGTATTCTTATAACAAAATATATGCTATAAATATAAATTTTGATCGAGTCAGGAATTTAGTTTACTCTGTTCTAATGGCGGACAATTACTAACAGAGCAGTCATCTAAAGAAGTACAACTAACACTTAGATCCAAAGGTTTAGGATCATCAGTACTACTTTTCTCACTAAGTATGTCAACTTTAGGTATCTGTGGCAGGCTTATATCTTTGGTTGACTTGTCAGGAATACTAGGAAGCTCACTTTTGGTTACCTCACTAATGGCACCATTGGATACCTGAGAATTAAGAATGTTTTTGTTTTTAGCAGCTTTAGCTGCTGCTAGTTTTACTTTAAATGTATTAGGATCACGACCATGTGAGGTAGCTCTCTGATGCTTTCGAAGTGAGCTGGGATCAGTGTATCGCTTATTACACCCTTCTACTTTGCAAGCATACGGTTTATTAGCATTGCTGATTTTTGAAATGGTTGTTTTTAAAGGCGTACAAGAAAACTCTTTGTTGCCAGTAAGAGAATTTTCAGTTTGAACATCTCCATTTTTATTTCCAGACATCTGAGATGTTAAACTAGACTTTTGCCTATTTTCACCTCCATGAGCAGTTGATTTCATATGTTTGCGAAGAGAGCTTGGATCAGTATACCTTTTATCACATCCTTCTACACGACAGACATAAGGTTTATCTTCTTGGTGTGTTTTGGAGTGCTTAAAACGATCACTGGAGTTTGAGTAAGCTTTATTGCAACCAGCAACAGGACATGCATATGGTTTCTCCCCTATTGAAAAATACAAAATCTAAATACTGAAACTTTTGTTAAAAAATGTATGAACACAGATATACATAAGTCTTATAAATAAAATGTTCAATTCACATTCAGATATCCTTCCCAAAAGCAATAATTCTTAACCAACGAATGCTGAAATGTTATAAGACACACAGAAATTTGACTGTTGACTTGTCTTTGCTTGCAGAAAAGTTAAACTGAACTAATCAATAAAAAATTAAGATTATTGAGTAACATTTCTGGCAGATACAGAACTTTTAACATAACACTGCAATGAACAAGCTTTAGTAAAGATGGAACTCAAAATGCCAAAACTATGTGGAGACTGAATAAAAAGAGTATTTTTCAATAATTTTAAATTTCAAAAGACACAGTTCAAAAATAGGAATAACTCAATTCTGCTTTCAAAAATACTGTTTCAAAGTGATCATAATTCCTGCGAATACCAATCAAAATGCCATATTTCTATAACAGAACAATATATTTAAAAAAAGAAATTTTGAATTGAAACATACCAAAGTTCATTTTCACAAAAATAATTTAGGTATGCACTATCACCCTTCCTTCTTTGGAAGCTTAGTTATCAACTACACTGCTATCAATATTTATGTAATTAGTATGCCCAGAAAAAAATGTTTGGCATAAATTAAAATTACACTGAAAAGAATAAAATCCCTGTCTTCTAAGAGAATTAGGCAAGGATCTAAATTATTGTGAAATTAACTTTCATATCAGTATGGATGGGTTTTTAGGACCAAAGGAATCCCGTTTCATTTGATTACTTGTTTATATACTTGGAAAATATGTGCATCTCAATAATTTCAACAACTTCAGTGAAAACAAATCATTGTTTTTATCTGAAAATTATTTGTCATTTCAAGAAATAAATATTCAAAAACTGCAACCTCATAAGTACTCATTTTTTCACCGACATTGGAATATTAAAATTTTTTTATGCTGAGGTACACAACACCCAAAATACCAGCTATGGTCAAATTATTAATCCCTTCACAACTTGAACATAGTTTCGGACCTCTGCACATATCCAGGGTGTTTCAGTACAGCAGTTACAGACCTTTAGGAGAGACAGAGTACACCTAGAAGATGGAAAATTGCATAACAATGCATGGTCGGAAACACTTTCTTGGTGCAGTAGTGATGACACCAAACACAAGAAGTGAAGAACACAAATAGGGTGAGAAAACACAAACTACTTCCTCTGGGGATACATCAAGACACTGGTGTACAAAATCCCTGTTAACAGTGCTGCGGATTTTGTTGCATGCATTGTGACTGCTGCTGAGGAGGTCTAGGACATGGCCGGTATTTTCCAGAACATCAGATTTCCCATGTGCTGGTGATGTGAGGCCTGCATCATGGTCTAGGGTTGTAATTTCAAACACCTTTCTTTGATGACAATCACTGTGTTTTTGTTCTTGATTTCTACTGTACTAAGCACAATAAACCTGTTCCCTCATCCTGTTTGTGTTCTTCCTTTCTTGTGTTTTGTGTTGTCACTACTGTGCCAGGAAAGTGTTTCTGACCATGCATTACTATGTGATTTTTCATCATCTAGGTGTACTCTCTCACTCCTGAAAGTTTGTAACTGCTCAGCTGAAACACCCTGTATTCAGAGAGAGAGAACATGAGAAATTATAATTAACTGAGTATAAAAACTGGATTTAATACATCATTAACCCTTTGACTGCTAACTGCTCTAAGTTGGAGCATATTGTGTAAGTGTTTTGTGGCTGCAAAATAACTGACCAAATAAATAAGACTTCATTTTTCTTGTTGCTATGCAATGAACGAGGTATGAGGTTGGAAATATTTTCTGAACATACATGAGACAGCAATTAACAGTTAAAGCCTTTGCAGAGTGTGCAATTGCGTCCACTAGCTACACCGCCAGATGCACATATGCACCCATAGGCTACACCAATGGTTTTTGCTAGATGCATACATGTGCCCATAGCAGTCACAGGATTAAAATAGAAATTTGACAGCAAGTAAACAATTAAAATCACTCTTGGAAAATTAGCACAACTCGCATCAACACCAGCAGTTTTTAAAGTCAATTATTCAATAAAAGGTATGAGTGTTGTGTACAGATTTTTAATCTATACTAAAAATTCCATGTCTTATGTTCTTACAGACAAACAGCTCATGTTTGAAACAAACCCCTATTATAACTATACTTAAAGTTATGTGATAGCTTTCAGTAGAAAATAAATTCAAAATGTATATGATTCATAGTGAGTGAAATTTTTTCTCATAAATACCACAATACTGTTTTTGAATGAACGTCATGAATTATCACACAAGAACAAATTCTGGATCATAACGTAACTCATACTGTCAGGTTTTTCAGCTAGAATTTCCTAATTACTTTAACTTAAACATATGCTCCAGAAATAGCAGACCAATACCTTAGCATTATGATGATATGACTGATGTACTCTTAACCTGGACACACATATTGCATACTGTATTCAGATTAAATTCTTCAAAGTTTACTTTTCTGTCGATCCAGCTACACAGAATTAAAATTAAAGAGCATCTTGATCTCTAAAAATTAAAGAGGAATCAGAGGTTTCATTTCCTTTACTTCTTTCTTTTGTTTTTTTAGAAGGATCAGAGCAATAACTTCACAAGTCTTGTTGTCAGTTAATGATTCTTCATTTACTTTCCAGGATATGTGCAAAATATGAGGCCCTTTCAAACTTTGAACAATATCGACTTTGAGCACATTACATATATTATTACCATCCAAAAATTTCTTTGAAGGAAATTCTCCGTATCCTAGAAAAACACTTGTAAAAAAAAAAGCTTGACATAAAAAAATATCTGAATCACAAAGAGTAAAAAATTAAGGAGTTTTATTAACTACATAGCTCACCATAAGCATCAATTAGAGATAAATATTGGTTTATACAAATATTACAGTATACTTACATATTATCTTGTTAATCGTGAAAGTTGGTGAAGATACTGCCAAAGCTGTAAAAGCTGTTCCTGCAGAATTCTGAAGGAACTGATGCGTCTTTATTTAATAAACAAACAGTATTTGACCTGCTGTTTTTGCATTTCGTAAAAAGGCTTTTATCAGTTTATATTATTTTGTTTCCTATTTTATCAGAAGCTCTGTTTAGAAGGCTATGAGTACAAATTTCCACAGGTACTGTTCTTTTGGCAATATTCAGCTGATCTTACAATATCCATTAATAAAATCTTTTTGTTATGGCAGGATCACTTAATTCTGAAATTAATCCACTGCTTGCTGTTCGGTAGAAGGTAGGTCCCATAAATCATTTCTTCCAAAATGTAAAAAAAAATATAACAACAGTTAACTTTTGTTTATAAAAACAAAAAGTGGCTTATTAAGAAACAGTCAGGGTTACATTAAATGAAAGCACAGATGTTAAGAGTGTGCTTCACGCTTATCCATAATTGGTGCTAAATTACACTGTTTGGTGACAGTTTCATGGTCAATGAATAATATGCAAGTACCTATTATAGTAACGAATTGGGAAAATTATATAAATTATTTTTGATCTTTATTTTATTAAAAATCAAAAAATAAAATGAAAGCTTATTAAAGATACAGTACTACTATTAAAAAAGCTTCTAATATCTTTTAACAAACTTTTATTACCTGTGTGAGATCTAATATGAATTCTCAAATTTTCTAGCCTAGAGAACTTTTTTCCACAAACATCACATCCATGTGGTTTTTCATGCGTATGAGTTCTAATGTGAATTAACATTCTGTACCTGAAATAATAAAATCTGCACTTAAGACATATATACACAACTGATATACATCTACCTGTATACTGAGACAGTAGGTTTAGACAGGGCTGGTTTAAACCAGCACAGCTAATTTGCAAAGCACTGCTGGCAGAGTTTTTTTTTTTTTTTTTTTTTTTTTTTTTTTTAATTTTACATATTGACTATTGTTAGCCAAGATAGAAGGGTGACCAGACATAAAGGCACCCTAGTGAAATTCAGTTTTTATCACAAGAATGCAACTTTCAAGATGCCAGAATACTTATGTGAAGTTCTTTATCTTGGCAAATATTTGCCAACTTGTATAAAAAAGCTAACACCTTTGGGATAGTCGGATAGGAAAATTTCCCACTTATGGTATGCATTAAAGAATTCGATCAAACAGTTGAGAATTTGAAATGAGGTAATTACAATGTGGTTAGGATCATGAGTTTAGAATGTTTAACATTACTTTGTCTCTTTTTTCCCCCAGGCATAAGGAATGCATTAAAACTTTTTCTTTCAACAAGTTTGTTTTTTGTTACATAAATCCAATTATTATTAATGTTTCTTCCATTTTTTAAACCATAGACATCAGGTGACCTGGTACTGCTATGGCCAGTGCCTCAGGCAATTTCCTGATACACCCATTTGCACGACACAGAGAAAGTGTATGTGAAATGTAAAAGCATGCTGAGTATGGTACAAGGATAAAAATCATGATGACTGATAATTTTCTTTATTTACGTTTACTATAAATTTGCTATCAGGTCTGGAAACTTAATTCCTTTAACACCAGAACAGGCTGCCCAGATGGTATGGTGATAAGGGGAGCTGACTGCGATATCGAAAGGCCTGGGTTAGAGTCCTGGAGAAGGTATCCCTGCATAGAAGACAAAAGGTGACCCACCTATTAAGTGCCTCCACAATAAAGTGATCCCCACTTCTGGCCTGAGTAGTGTCCAAGCTGAAATCAGATGATGGCCCACCATTGAATAAAAAAAAACGCTCAGAACATTTCCAGGAATTTGTTTCATGAATGTTTCATAACATTGCTTATTCTAACTGGTTAACCAACATAATATCAACAGATAATTTTTGCACCTTGAGGTAAAAATTTTTGAATCAACTCCATTCAGACAAATTCTAGGATACTGCACTTCTACAATAACGAGCAAAATTAATGGGAAAACTGTAAAAAATGCTGTTAATTCTACAGGAATATATATATATATATATATATTTTGCAATCACTGTTTTGAGACATGTGAAAATGAGTGCAAGGGACTACTTCAAAATCTAATTTCAAGAACTGTACAAGTAGCAAAGAAAATTTTTGAGCATGGAAGAGGAAAATTAAGAAAGAATTTGATGGACTGTGAGAAACGGCATGTGACTGGGAATAAGGAAGCATGACTTCAAGCCATGACCAAGACATTGACTTCAAGCCTGTCAATACCTAGTCACCAAGACAGTCACTGAAACTGATTAAATATACTGGTGATGTATGCAAACTAAAGTGCACATAACTCTCAGAACTATTCTTTGGCAAGAGTTACTAAAAGAAATCAATCCAGGTTGAAGACAGTTTGCTGCAGTTACAGGAACTTGACCATCCAGATATATCACAAGTGACAAGCTGCATTAATGTGGGCTGTATACAACGAAACTCATGATTTGTGTCACAATAATTCAGGCTGCAAATTGCAGCAGATCATCATGGCTGGAATATCATGGACTGGAGCTTAATTATCTTTGACAAGTCTGATTTTTATTACAAAGTGATTCCAGACATGTTATAATTTGGATGAGCAAAACATGGAAGAGATATGAAAATATCCACGAAAAGCATAATTACAAAGGTGGAATTATGGTATGGATGGACATCATTTTGAATGGCTGCATTGACATACACATATTTAACAGTGTAATTCTAAACACTGAAATATATAGAGATGAGGTTCTTGATCCTTACATCAAGTTGGTTACAGGTGTAATTGGTAATAACTTCCTCATAATGGACAGTAATGCTCATTCCCATTGTGTTGCATTAGTAACCAATTATCTTGAGGGTTAAAGAATAAAGCAGGAGAGTGGCTCACATATTTGGATTTAAATCTAACAGAATATGTGTGGGAGACACTAAGTCACTGACTTGCATCATAGTAGACCTAGCACTTCCTAAGCTTCCAGGCATTATTCATCATTAATACACTTTGTTTAATTCATCAACTCCCTGACAATGCCAAATTGCTGTAAGCTTTTACTTTAGTCAAAGACAACTACATGCCTTATTTATTATTTACAGTAATCTGTAAAAATTTGTAACACCAAATTCTTCCCACCCCACATAGATCGTATTTCCTCTGTTCTCATTTAAATTAACTTTTCTTGCAAAAATAGGAAATTTGGCATTTTGAATATAGTCAGGCATGTCAAAATAAAGATCTACAAGTTTACACTTTTAACAGCAAAATCATTCAAATTATAGTTCATTTAATTTTCCCAACCAGTGTCAGAAAAACTGCATATTCTGTTTCCTATTTGCTGGTGTGATAAGGGTTTAACCAGGAGATTGCAGAAAGGATAACTAATGAAATCAGATAAATAAATCATTCAAAAGCTCATTTCATTTCAGCAAAGAATTTCTAAAAATTTCCGAGTGAAAAATTTTTAATAAAGAGACTTCCTCCCCACAAATTAAATTATCTGTGCAATAAACACTTTTATTGCAATTATATTCCATTATAACTCTAAACATATTTCTACATTTTTATTCTACAAAAGCTAGCATAAACTAAAATCAAGAACGGCTTTTCATACATGAACTACAATTATAAACAATACAATAAAAAATTCTGCCTGTAAATAAATACGAGGCATCCTTTCAGATATGGAAGAATTCAGTAAAAGTACTTTTAAGTTTTATGGTATCATTCTAAATAATGCAAAATATATTAAGTAAGAAATATTAGTTGATAAAACACGCAAAAAGATTTTTTTATTAAAAGAAAAGGGATCCACACTCAATTCTTTCCTGCAGATTAACAGGTGACAAGATTTACACACAACTAACCTAGCATTGATAGCCTTTCCTTGACGGGCACAACCATTCCAGTGACATCTGTATAAGGAATTTTCATCTTGATATATATGCGAGTTATTTACATGTTGAGCAAGATCTTTTCTGCAGTTAAAATACATATCACAAGACTCCCAGCCACACTTATAATCGCCTTTCTCATCATCATCATCATCAGCATTCCAATTACTTGCAGATGGTTGCAGAGAATAGACTCGAAGAAATGATGGTGGCCCATAACTATCATCTATGGAACAGAACTGAAAAATAATTTGCTATTAAATTTTGGATACAAAGCACCGACTTCAAAGATTATAAAAAAAAAAAGCACCCTTCTCCCCCAAAACAATGTTTAATATCCATTCATTTTACCTTCATCTACAAATTTTGCATATGAAATTAACTGATACATATATGGAATGAAAATATCTCAATCTATATGCTTACAAACTGTGACCATAACCTAAAATTTACAGATAATTTAATAAAGAAATTAATTAAAAGTACACAGACCTTAATTTGGCAGATTATGTGCCTAAAAGTATTTTCGTGTACTTCACACATAAGAAAAACTTTTTTAAGTTGTCAATACTTTGGAAACTGATAATTTTTATGCAGAATACATTTTAACAAAACACAATTAAGCACATATACTGCAAGATAAATATTTATACATACAGTAATCAGTAAAAATATATTTACGGGTGCCCCTTGGCAAAAACTGGCGATTTTTGCAGTACATGGACACCGAATTTGTGCAATTCTTTGGCTTGTTATTTTGGCTTTGTGCAGCGGTGATTTTTGCGCTGAAACAAAGCCAAAATAACAAGTCAAAGAATTGCATAAACTCGGTATCTATGTACACATCCACCTATTTTCATTTCAAAAAACATCAGAGAATTGCACAAACTTGGCACTGTGCACTCCCTTGACCTTGTCCATGTACACATTGATCTATTTTCACTTAAAAAGTCTAGGGAGCAGCCAATTCTACACTAGAGTAGAAATATATACATATAATCTCAATAAATGACATTCTAAATGAAACAATGAAATAACATAAAAAAGGAAATTCATCTTACAGCATCTAAGCACTACACAAAGGAAACATCCACTTACCTTATTTAGAAATTTCCGTGTCTTCAGCCTGTGACACACAAAATGCCTTAATAGCATCCAAAAACTTCCTAAAATTATGTGAACTATACTGATGTCACCACAGAAATTCACAAAAATATCATCCGTAGTGCCAGTATCCTCCAACGTTCGACCATACACATTTTCCATCGTACAAACAGAATACTTTTAATTTCACTGAATTACATCCAAGAAAGTTTCTTTTCTTCTGTCCTCAACCATAAAAAAAAAAAAAAAAAAAAAAAAAAAAAAAAAAAAAAAAACCTGCTCTCTCTCTCATTCTATACCATCAAACACCCACTTTACCACCGGCAGCCATTAGCCATTTTACGATGCAAAAGACACAAATACACGACATACTCCGGACTGACATCCAACAAATATTTTCCCATCAGTCAAATTCACCGCAACACAATCAATTACTTCATAATAGAGTATCCCATAACATTCAACTACTCATGTTATCATAAATGAAACAATAACAATCCAAGGGGCACCCTTAAATATACTATAACCTAAATAATATTTGCATACTAACAATCAAAACACAATAAGACAAATCCTTCCCAGAAGCATAACAACAAATCTAGGCAACCAGACAGCAACAACATATAGCATACCGAAAGTAAGGAAAGACAATATCACAAACTGAACAAATTAGATACAAATATATATAAAGTTTTATTACTTACTTTACTCTCTGCATCTGTATTACATAAAGGCCGGTCTTCAACACGCCCATTTTCTAGCAGACCATGGGAAATCAAGAGTTCAGAAACAAGAGGAGATTTTATCAAACTTGATGATGAAATGTCATAAGAACTGACACATGCAAAACTGGCAGGTTCAGTAGGGAAATCAATACAATCAAACTCATCACTACTATCTAAGACTGATGAATCAACATCATCTAAAAACAAGTTTTTTAAAAATGATTACCCACTTTCAAATTTGCAATTTAATAAATAAATAAATAAACATGTTTATACTCTTTTGATAGCCAACATTACATAATTGTCTATTCCAGGAAATTTAGACTTCAAAAAATATCAACACATAAGGATAATACATGAAGGTACATGAATACCTACCACAAGATGATTGTTAATTTTGCAATTTTTTTTTAAATCATGAGCTTTACTACTTCCCAAATAATGAATTTTAAGTATTACATACAGTTCATGTAATCATAGTCATCTGGCTACATGAATGAATTACAAATTTATAAGCGAAAGAAACATACTAGGTCAACCTAAGTAAAAAAAATTTAGTCATTTTGATACCTTTTTTTAACAATATATATTTAATTTCCATTTATAACTTACCTTTAGGAAAATCAAAATCTTCAGTTTTTATTTTGCATTGCTCTTGCTCCATACCTAATTGAAATCGGAAAATGTATTACATAAGTCATTATATTATAATTGTCAATAAGCTAATCAGTTTTAGATAAAATTAATTGCAGCCACTTGGTTATGGATAAATATACATTCTCTTATATTATTTACAGTTACAAAATCCTTATATGTAAGCTACTATCAAAGCACTAAGAGCACCATAGTACTTATTTACACTACTATCAAGCAGCAAGAATAAAAATAAATGACTACATTATGATTTATCATGCGTAAGAATTCAATTAAGACATATTTTTAAAAAAATACCTACATGTTGCCCTCAGTTGTACAACATGGGTAACATTTTCAGTGATGGAACAGCTAAATAACCATTATGCTCAACCATTCCCAATAAATGCTTAATAAGCAAGCATCTGACAGTTAAAAAAAAAAAGAAATCATACCTATTACTTTAGAATTTTACTACCATAAAATTTATATACATGATTTCCCAATACTTTATTTTGTTCAGTAAACATAACTTTTTTAAAAATTTTCATTTGAAACTGGCCATGTATGTTGATTAACAGCAAAGATTTAATTGTTTTATTAGATATTTTACACATTTATCCCAAGTTAAAATTTACATAAAAGTGTTAAATTACATCCAAATTATATCCAAGTGTTAAAATTTACATAAAAATTCTAAGAATCGATGGTCTTTGAAATTTTATATTAACAGAGAGACAAAGCTTAGTTTTATACTACATTACTTTAATTTTTTTTTAATCGGAGGAACATCCACTATCACTTTCTCATAATTTTATTTTGCCTTTTATCCACATTGAAAAGATATTTGCCTTTTCCCCACAAACTATTGCATCAAATCAGAATAAACAAATAAATAGCTACTATAATCAGATATATTTTGCAAAGCATATTATTTAAGAGCATTCATTAGATAATCGGTATTTAAAAATAAATAAATAAATAAATAAAGCAACAGGACCTTTCATAGCACAAACCACAAGACTTCAGTAAAGTATTTTCTTAGGTTAAAAATAATGCATTTAATTTACTTAATCAGTTTTATGATTATAATTTATTTAACTCATAGTAGAAAAGCGTCAAGTGAAATACTAAATATATAAGCTGAAAAATGAGTATTTAAACTTACAATGCACAGAGACAGCAAAAAAAAAAAAAAAGTTAATTTTTCCATGCAAAATTGAGGGCATTTACAGACTTTAATCACGTGTTACAAATTATACATAATGAGAAAACTGAATTTGAGTAAAGTGTTCAAAGAATATACATGTAATAATTTTTTGATTATTACGTAACACACAACATAACAGAAACTATTATTTAAGAAGATAATTTTTAAATACAATGAAACCTTGGAATAGGAATTTAATTGATTCCTGAAGGCAGTTTGCCAACCAAAACAATTTTCCCAACAGGAATTAATGTACAATAGATTAATTTATTACGGAACCACAGATGACTGCTTACTTTGTAACAGTACTTTGTGCAAGAGTTCATAACTAAAATCTAATGGAAATTATTAAATCTCGGCTAAAACAACACAAAACAGACTAAAAAAAACAAGAAGTTTTGACAACATTGTTTGAAAATAAAATACAAATCAAAGTAAATGAATAAATTAAAAAAATGAAAAATAAATATATAAAGGGAAAAAATATGCTTATTATTAAGTAAATATTTAATTATACCATTAATACTTCCTGCTGAAATGAATTCCTTTAAAAAAAAAAATTTTTTTTTATCAGATCAAAGAATACAAATTACTATTTTATATACTTAATTCTGCAACTAAAATTAAAATTTTTTTCAGAAGTCCACTAAATTTCTTGAAACTTTTGGGGTTGCTATGAAGAAGAAAGGTTAATAATTTCCATGACGCATTTTCAAAAAGGTCTCTAATTAATTCAATAGAAGAATTGTGAAAGAAATTATATGTCATTTCTATACAAACCCTTTCTAAAACATATAGCAAGCATAAAAATATTAGTCCTGTATGACAATACATTTTACATTCAAAGTCATGCAAAATTCTTTCAGATTTTCAGCCCTTATAAAAAAGTCAAAATGCCTATATTATAATCATTAAGTAAGTTACACACAAAGGCTGTTATGAATAATATGAACACAACCTCAATTTCTAACAGTTTCCATCACATTTATTCTTGTAACTTCATGAATATCAATCAATTCTGTACCGCTTTCTCATTTACTTAAAATGTTGATATCTGTTATCTGCTCAATACACATGCCTTCATTTCCCACACCAAACTTTTTAAGAGTTTTAGTTTCTTTTGGTTTAAAATATCACCTGTCACTTTAATCATATATTTCCTTCAGTAATATTTTAACTTCAAAACATCAGTTTTTAACAAATAGTGTTAAAAACTGATGAATACAAATTTAATATCTAATCTGTTAGAAACACATAAAAATATCATAATAATGTGGAACCAATTCATTTTATACTTCAACCATTACATTGAAGTTACAAATATGAGCATTCCATCAATTCTACTGAAGTACAGTACAGGATATTTAAAATACAAACTGACTAAACTAAATACACATATTGGTAAGCTTGCTAATTAAAGACTGTCAGTCTTATTAAAAAATAGTATGATGTAAAGTAATTTCATTGGTTGATTGCTGATAAAACTTATTAATAGTAAACAAACAATGTTCACTGTTTAAATACAATTAATTTTAAAAATACCTTTTTGAAATATAAATAAAATAAATTGCAAATTAAATTTATTAAAATTCTAAAAGATATTTAAGCACACACACATATATATGAAACACAAGCTTTATTTACATGGATTTCATTTATACTATATTAAAATAACTATGATATTAAATAGGTACAAGTATGGTTGTAAGATTTTTATAAAAAAAAAAAAACTTTAAAACTATAACACTCCCCAAAATATAATTAATCAATCTATGTTAATATTTCATATTAACAAAAGCAATCACTTAAATATGACTAGAAGAAAGCCAGAAATCTAGTAGTTTCTTATTCCAAATTTTATTAAAGTATATGCTTAACAAACAATGTTCACGTATGTTAATAAAATTTAAAAAGTACCTTTTCGGCTATGCCGAAATAAGCAGTTATACTCGACATTTGGAGTGCTTCTAAAAACATTTTCTTTTCAAGAAAATTAATGCAACTTTCGATTATAGCTCAGAAAACGTAATGAAGCTTTTTTTTAAACACTTGAACTGACCACTAATCAATCTACATAGTTTAAGATCGCGTATTTTCCTCAAATGCCAAAAAAAAGTAAGAAAATATTATTTGTGAAAATGATACATTTATTCTTCAAAAATATCTCAGAAATTATCATAAGCAAGGTGTGGTATAGAATCTTGCTCAATACAGAAGTCTGATTAACAGATAATTCACTACTGCACCTGATCGATTTCTCAGAGTTCCCTAGTCTACATGAGATAGAGGACATCGACAACAGTTCAAGAAAATTTCAGCATTCAGGTCTGGAAACAGTACATGAATAAGTGATAGAAAAAAGATAAAACAATTGGATTGCATTTTCGTTCATTGAAAGAAAAAGAAAAATTAAATCAGTTCAAACAATCAGGTAAAAAGTAAACAGGTTACTGTTTAAATAGGAATTTTAACTCAAAATTTACCAATATCCATCATACTACATAAATTAAAAGTCATAATAAAAGTAAATCAAACAGACACTTTAAAGTAACAGCTTGATAAACATCACACAATTAGCAAATAAACGATACAAATATCTAATACTGACCATATAGATGAGTACGTAAACATGTATATTTATAATTTCAGAAGTATAACATAAACAGTAGAGAAGTCATTACAAATGAAATCATCTCTTTAAATCTGCGATTTCGCAGATTTTGTTCCAAATAAAAAAAAAAAAAAAAAACTAACGCACACAATTCCAAAAACACAACACAGGCACTTAATTACACCACCTCAAAGATTCAACATTCTACGTCGGCAGTCTCAAGAGAGTTGCCATATGATGAAACTTATATACGCCCTCTTCAGCGTTTCGACGAGTTTATTAAAGAAATAAATAACAAAAATTGAAATTCAGATTTTTAGTTTAATACCAGCAAGATGTTATAAAATTGTTTTCGTTGAGTAAAATATGCAAGTCTCTCAATAATAAATTTTATTTTAAAAAAATTATATTATTTGCTTGTACAACTGAATAACAGAGATATCTGGAATGAGATACATTCCGGTGACGTCGGAGGTCACGTGATGTAAGAGCTGCTAATGTAATTAAACAAGCTTGTACTGTTGTAGATGTGTTGAAAATTCGAAAACTTTGTTTATTTTTAATTAGTTATGAAATTTGCATTTCATCTTTAATTATTATTTCATCTATTAACTAACTGTTCATTCATTTGGTTAGTATAATTTTGGTAACTCTTATATGTTATTGTTATCTTCATGATCTGTTCGCTGCTTTACCATGACGTGTTCACTGCTTTACTATGTTTTGATTGTTAATATTTATTTATGAATTCTTTCCTTGATCTGATAATTAATTCATTTATAAAAAAATGTAAAAATTAATACATAAAATCATGTTTACATAGATTGCTCTTCTACACTGAAAAGAAAGTTACTATAAATATTTTTAAGTCATAATTTTATCAGCTTAACAATCAGAACATTAAATATAAATAGTTGGTTTCTGAAAACCCTAATAATCAAATTTCCGGAGCACTGTAATTGCAGTTGGCCCTTATATCATGTAAGTGTAATATTTAATAATTTGTAAATGGCAACATTTAATATTTAGTAACTTGTAATTGGCAACACTTTGGATACTGGTATGAAAATAGAACAATGCTGGTATTGCAGGTCTCTGTAATTTACAACTCTATTATATACAGTTAAATAGTTTTTGTAAAGCTACAAGTGCATCCCATCACTTTTTTGAGACACTGTATGGTGTCAGGATTATTTTGCTTTCAAAAATGGAAATTTTAAAACCACCAGAGCCAATGAAATTTTGATGGAAATCTAGCTTCGAATTCGCAGAGATGGCTGCCAATCATTTGAAATATATGAAGTAGCTAGTGGATTGCATAATAAAGAAGAGAAGATAAGAGTTAATACTTTTCTTCATGTAATATGAATTGCGTGGTCTTGAAATATATAATACATTTCCTATAGAAGAGGGTAAAGAAATAAAATTAAGTGAAATTAAAACAAAATTTAACGGAATATTGTATTCCCTAAGAAAAACATTACATATGAAAGACATTTATTCTTTACTAGAAATCAAACCGCGTCAGAAACCATAGATGAATATGTAACTAATCTTCGAAATAAAGCTCGAGCATGCGAGTTTGTACAGTTAATGGATAGTTTAATAAACGATAAAATTGTTCGTGGTATTAAACATGATGTAGTGAGATCAAGATTGTTACAAGAAACAGAATTAACATTAGAAAAAGCTCTTAATATATGCAGATCTGCTGAAATACGTGCACATCAAATGAAAATCATAATAGATGAGGAAACTGTTGTAAACTTAGTGAAAAAGAAACTAAGAAAACATAATAAGAATACCTACAAAGAGGTAAATACGGAGAAACAAAAGATAAAAGTTTGTTCTAAATGTGGAACATCTCATGAGTATCGAAAATGTCCAGCAAATGGAAAAATCTGTCATAAGTGTAAAAAGGAAAATCATTTCGCAAATCTGTGTAAAAGCTATATAATAAAAAATGAAGCAGTTTTAAGGTAAACAAAAAAGATAGCAAATTAAATTAATAAATCATGACACTGAGGAAGAGTTAGAATTTTTTGTCGGCACATTAAACCTTAATTCAGATAACAAGGATGAGAAATGGACTGTTGACGTTAATGTAAATAAAAGTAAACAATTTGCAGTTGGATACTGGAGCAATGTGCAATGTTATTTCTAAAAGCAAAGTGAAATTGCTAAATGTTCCGATACAGAAGTCTGAGATTAAAAGATTAGTTACATTCTCTGGGAATAAAATGAATACTTTAGGAAAAGTAGTATTTAACTGCCAATATGGAAAAAATAATTATGTTGTGGAATTCCAAGTTATTGACAAAGAAGTACCTTCTATATTAGGATTAAAATCATGTTTGCAACTAGGTTTGATTCAAAAAGTAATGTCTGTTTACACTGAAGACTTAGTGGAGAAATACAAAGATGTATTTGAAGGCTTGGGTTGTTTGAGTGGAGAATATAAAATCCATTTGAAACAAGATGCAACACCATTAATTTATCCTACAAGAAAAATACCCATAGCTATACAAGAAAAAGTTAAGAACGGATTAAAAAAATAATGGAAAATTTAAATTTTATTGAAAAAGTGAGAGAACCAACTGAATGGGTAAATTCAATGGTCACAGTTGTCAAACCTAAAAAAAATAAGAATATGTTTAGATCCTAGAGATTTAAATAAAGCTATAAAACGAGAACATTATCCGATGTTAGCCATTGACAAAGTTGTCACTAGAATGCCAAATGCAAAAATATTTTCTGTTTTAGATGCTAATAGTGCTTTTTGGTAAATCCAGCTTGACGAAGAAAGTAGTAATTTGTGTACATTCAATACACCTTTTCGCAGATACAAAGATTACCTTATGGCATATGTTCAGCTCCAGAAATTTAAATTAATGATAAGAAAAATTAAGCCAAATAATAAAAGGTCTAGAAGGTGTTGAATGTATTATAGATTATATTTTAATATGGGGATCTAATGAAAAGGAACATGAGCTACGACTTAAAAAAAGTACTCCAGAGAGCACGAGAAAATAATTTGAAGTTCAGTAAGGTTAAATGTAAAATAAAAGTTTATCATGTGAATTATATAGGGCATGAACTAAGTGAAAATGGACTAAAACCTGATTTTTCTAAAGTGGAAGCAATTGTTAAAATGCCAGAACCTACTCATTATCAAAACTAAAAGTGCACCCTCTTTGTGCCTTCGCTACAAAGATTTTTGGGAATGATAAGTTATTTAGCCAAATTTATTCCTAACTTAACTACTATTACTGCACCATTAAGACAGTTACTTGAGAAAAATGTTCTCTGGCACTGGACTGAAAAACATCAAAAAGCTTTTAAAACACTTAAAGAATTGGTTGTAAAAGCACCCGTATTAAAATTCTATGATGTTAATAAGGATGTAACTCTTTCAGTAGATGCAAGTTCTGAAGGAATAGGTGCTATTTTACTACAAGAAAAACCAACCAATTGCTTATGCTCCCAGAGCTCTAATGAAAAGTCAGAAAAATTCTGCTCAGATAGAAAAAGAGCTTTTAGCTATTACTTTTGGATATTCTACATTTCATTAATATATATATGGCAAGCGTATTACAGTTGAAACTGATCATCGACCATTAGAAAGCATAACTAAGAAATTGCTAAAGAAAGCTCAAGCAGATCATGCTGATCCTTATTTAGCATTGTTAGCTTATAGGAACACTCCAACTAATGAGATGTTAGGATCACCAGCTCAACGACTTATTACTAGAAGAACAAGAACGATTCTTCCTACATCCGAAGAATTACTTAAACCTCAAGTTGTGAAAAACGTAAAAGAAAAAATCAACTAAGAAAGAACTAAGCAGAAGTCGTATTATGATCGTCATACAAAACCATTACCATCGCTAAACAAAGGAGATTGTTTTAAGGTATATCAAGGTAATCGCTGGAAACCAGCAGTTGTAGAAGAAGTATATAAGACGCCTAGATCATATATACTGAGATCAGGTGGATCAGTATGAGAAAGAATAGAAAAGGCATTAGAGAAAACAGTTCAGCTCTTTTGAAGAGAATATCAGAGGAACAGAACAAGGAGTTAATGCACAGAAAACAGATTTAAAAGGATATGATTTTCACATTCTCAAGGGCAAAAGTTTAGAAAACAACTACCAAATACTGATAACTCAGAAACAAGGGATGATGAGCAAAGAACTAGAAGTGGGAGAGTGATTAGAAAGCTGGCCAGGTATTTGGACTGATTTTAGACTGATTCAGAAGTCAAACAACAAAAATCAGCGTTATATTTACCAAATTTTCACAGGACTAGTTTCGATGGTTTTACCGAACCACCATCTTCAGCTGCAAAACCGCAAATGAACCAGATAGGAAATAATGATTAGATAAGATAAGAAAGCCTGGACAAGAATAAGCAAGTGGCGCCATCTGTTGGTGAAACCAGAACTAAAACATAATTTCTTTAAAAGCCGAAGGCGAATTTGGATTGGAATTAGGATCGTTAACTAAAACAGAAAGATTTTTATGAATGTGAAATGCCTCTAGAAAATCCAGTTCTCCAATGGAAGATGTTTTTGAATATTTTGGCAGCAGAAAAATGAAAGTGTGGTTTTCGGCCAACAATGTTGAGCAACAGAAGACTTCTGTGTTTCCTTTTTTCTAACATATGCCTCATGTTCCTTAACGCGAAATTTTAAGGCTCTCTTAGTTTGGCCAATGTAAATTAAATCACACTGGCAAGGAATCCTATAAATACCCCAGGAAAGTAGTGTACAAATGAGAGAGCTGGCGCAGTGACCTTTGGGGGCGAAACAATGACTGCGAAACCCTCCATTAAAATCGAACCCACTTTTAGAATGTGATGGCTCTCCAACCCTCCATTAAAATCGAACCCACTTTTAGAAAACAATGGCTCTCCAACCCTCCATAAAAATTCCCCACTTTTAGAATGTGATGGCTCTCCAACCCTCCATTAAAATCGAACCCACTTTTAGAATGTGATGGCTCTCCAACCCTCCATTAAAATCGAACCCACTTTTAGAATGTGATGGCTCTCCAACCCTCCATTAAAATCGAACCCACTTTTACAAACGCTACTTTTCCAAAACGCCGCTTTTACAAACGCCACTTTTCCTCTTCATCGCATGCTTCTTTTGCAAGGGGACATTCGTCCCCCACATAATCCACTGGCATGGTATATTTAGTGAGGGTATTAATTTATACCATCAGTGCACCATTATGTATGGCTTCTAGAGCGTCAAAGGAGAGACAATGGGTAATTGATTAATAATACCTAGTGAATAATAAAAGCATTTAAAGAGAAGGTTTGTAGTATATAGAAAGACAAAATGGATTTTCAATCAAAAACAGTTCGACAGTTACAAGATTACTGTCGAGAAAATGATATTCGAGGATACTCGAAACTTAAAAAGGTGGAACTGATCGCCCTCATTCAATACCACAACGGCTTTTCCAGGTTCCACAATGACTTGTTTATCAAGCGAAAGAAGAAGAGGGAGCTAAAAATCAGGTGTTGCGGAAAGTTAATAAAGGAATCTAGCATAAATAAGCACTTACAAACTAAAGCTCATCAAAACTATAAGCCTAAGAAGGCCAGCCAGGAGGTTCACAGAGATGATTTTGACAATATGCAGGGGCTGCATCATATGACCATTAACCAACTACGTGAATTTTGTCGATCGCGTGGCATCGCAGGCTATTCCAAACTACGGAGGAAGGCAGACATCAAAGCATACATAGAAAGCGTTTTGTTCAACCGTCACTTCGAATTTGATTCCGACCTGTTTTCAGATTCGCGAGAGAGAAGGCTATATACCCCCAATGAAATTGATACGGCTTTTGAAAACCGTTTGGTGACGTATGATGTCCAAAATGAGCACAATCTGATGCTTCCCAAAGACTTCTTGAACGATGTTTCATCACTGGTCCGGGGTCTTATTACAAAACATCTGAAGAGGCTGCATGGCTTGAAGGTTAATTTCCAATTTCTCTGTGACTATGAAAAAGGGAAAGATGAAACGATGACAGAAATGGAGAAAAACTTCAAAACAAAAAATGAAGTCATCTTAGAATCAACTGATTTGGTAGCTTATTACAGATCAGTTATCCAAAAATTATTGACGGAGATGGAGGAGTTTGTTTGCAAGGGGTTCAGGTTGGACGCTTGCTAGAATCAAAAGTCTTGAGGTGAGGATCAATAAGTACACCCCACTGAGAGGATCATCCTACATTGATTTGTCAAAAGTGATTAAAGCTAAAAAAGCAGTCATAAACGTAAAAAATGAGAATGATAATGAGTGTTTTAAATGGGCGATACTGTCTGCACTACATCCAGCAGAAAAAGATGCCCAAAGAGTCACCAAATATAAGCCATATGAAAATGAGCTAAAGTTCGAAGGCATTGAATACCCAGTAAAGATGGAAGACAGAGTACTCGAAAGGTTCGAAAAATTGAATAACATATCAGTGAACATATACTCATACGATGAAAAGACTAACTAACATATACCCCTTAAGAATAACTAAGCATAAAGTAGATAAGCATGTCAATTTACTTTACATAAGAAACGAGAAAGGGAACAGTCATTACTGTTGGATAAAAGACATGTCCAAATTAATATGTGGGCAATTAACCAAGCATAATGGAAGAGTATACCCATGTGAAAGGTGCCTGTTATTTTTTTCACTCTGAGGAAGATCTTCAAACGCATGAAAAGGATTGTAAGAAAAATCAGGCTGTTAAAATAGTAATGCCTGAAAAAGATTCAAAATTAAAGTTCAAACATTACCATAAATCGCTACGAGCACCTTTTGTAATGTATGCAGATTTTGAAAGTTTAACAACTAAGATAGATACATGTCAGCCAGATCCCAAGAGCTCTTACATGCAGAAGTACCAAAAACATGAACCCATGAGTTTCTCACTTTACATTAAATATAAGCACGGAGACTACAAACCGCCTATCACATATAGAGGTCCAAATGCAACTAAAGTATTTTACGAAACGTTGAAAGCTGAGGCCTTAGAGATAAAGAAAATTTATGATAAGAAGCACCCAATCAAAATTACTGATGAAGATGACAGGCATTTCAAGAGAACCCATATATGTCATATCTGCGGGTTTAACATCAAAGAAGTACCATCACCATATTCGCCGAAAGACTCTGAGGACTTCCAAAAAGTAATGGATCATGACCATTTACTCGATCCATCCAAACATGAATCAAACTATAGAGGGCCAGCTCATAAATTATGTAACTTAATGTACCAATACCCTTCCCTCATTCCTGTCTTCATTCACAACTTATCTGGGTACGATTCTCATTTATTCATAAAAGAGCTAGGTGGTGATAATGGGAATATCGATGTCATTCCAAACACTGAGGAAAAATACATTTCATTCAGCAAAGAGGTTGGAGCGGAATGGGTAGATGCAGGTGATGGTAAAAAGGTCAAGCTACCCGGAATAAAGTTGAGGTTTCTGGATTCTTTTAAGTTCATGGCTAGCAGCATTGATAGTTTAGCCAAAAATGTGAAAGAATTCAGAGAAACAGCCAAATTCTTTCCCAAGGACAAATTGGACCTCGTTACCAGAAAAGGCGTGTATCCGTATGATTATATGGACTCGTGGGATAAATGTGACGAAACACGACTACCCAACAAAAAAGAATTTTACAACAAAATGACTGAGTCGGATATATCACACGAGGACTATGCACATGCCAAAACAGTATGGAAGACCTTCAACATTAAAAATTTAGGTGAGTATTCTGATTTGTATGTGAAGACTGATGTACTGATCTTAGCTGATATTATGGAACATTTTAGAGATGTCTGCATAAGGACTTACAAATTGGATCCTGCATGGTACTTCACTGCACCCGGTCTCTCTTGGGATGCTATGTTAAAAACCACTGGAAAGGAATTAGAATTATTGACTGATTATAACATGATTTTAATGTTAGAAAAAGGAACCAGAGGTGGGATTTCTCAGTGTTGTAATAGGTATGGGAAAGCTAATAATAAATATATGAAAGACTATGACAGAAGTAAAGAATCTAATTATTTAATCTACCTAGATGCCAATAACTTGTATGGATGGGCAATGAGCCAATTTCTACCATATGGCGGCTTCAAGTGGGGGGATACCGATATAGATGTAACAGCGATCCCCGACGATTCAGATGTGGGTTATATCTTAGAATGCGACTTGGAATATCCTGAATATTTGCATGATCTCCATTCAGACCTCCCACTAGGAGCTGAGAACAGAGTTCCTGATGGCTCAAAACATACAAAATTACTAACAACCTTATATGACAAAGATCATTATGTGGTTCATTACAGGGGTTTGAAACAATTTTTACAAATGGGCTTAAAATTGAAGAAAGTACACAGGGTATTAGAGTATAAGCAAGCACCTTGGCTGAAGACATATATCGACTTGAACACTGAATGAGAACTAAAGCAACTAATGACTTTGAAAAAGATTTCTATAAACTCATGAACAACTCTGTGTTTGGTAAGACAATGGAAAATATTAGAAAAAGGCTTGATATCAAACTGTGCTGTGATGCGGAGAAAGCCGAAAAACTTATTGCTCTAAACCAAATTTTAAAGGAAGAACCATATTTGAAGAAAATTTAGCCGCTATACATATGCACAAAACTGCAGTACTCTTTGATAAACCTATCTATGTTGGAATGAGTATCTTAGATTTATCCAAAACTTTAATGTACGACTTCCACTATAATGTGATGGCACCTAAATATGGGAAAAACATTATACTGTTGTACATGGATACGGATAGTTTCATCTATGATATAAAAACTGATGATTTCTATGAAGATATGAAAGGAATGCTTGAACATTTTGACACGTTTTGATTATCCGGAGGATAATAGGTATGGAATGCCGCGAGTTAATAAAAAGGTTTTGGGGAAGATGAAGGATGAAAATGCAGGGGGGATCTTGGAAGAGTACGTTGGCTTAATATCTAAGATGTATGCCTGTAAAACTGAAAAAGACTTAGTTAAAAAATCAAAAGGTATTAAGAAATGTGTAGTGAAAAATAGAATTACTTTCGAGGATTACAAAAACTGTCTATTCTCACATCAAAAACAGTACAGATCTATGAATCTCATTAGAAGCACAAAACATAATATTCATTCCATACAAGTAAATAAGATTGCCCTTTCAGGAGATGATGACAAGCGGCACATATTACCAGATGGTATCCATACCTTGGCTCACGGTCACTATGCGATAAAGAGCAACCTCAAAAGTCACCTGTACAGACGCCAGGCGAAGGATCAGCATTTTGGTAAGGCCCCCAAGAAACCTCTCCTCTATAATAGCTCGGCTACGTACTGAACATTTCAAGGGTATCACCAACTGGTCCTATCCCAACTGCTGTCCTGAATCCCTCATGCCTCTTCGAACTCCGCCAATAGAGATCCGCCTCCAGAACTGGCAGCACCAAGACTTTTTGATTTTTTTTTGCACCTCATGCACTTATGTATAGACATGACAACAACATTATCAATCAATTTAAAAGGGGTTAAAAGGAAGACTTATTAAAATAAATATGGACATGACGGAAGAAATGGAGGAAATAATGAGATTGTTTTAGTCCAGACACAGAAGTTTCTTCAGACTTGAAAACTAAAGAGTGTGAACACAAATATGTAATTGGTGATGACTGGTACAATTGCCAAGCATGTGGTGAAGAACTGAGATATAATCCAAAATAAACCCCCTATCAAATTAGAAGATTTATATTTCGAAAAGGCGCAGACAGCTAGAATGAAAAGCAGAATGACAAATCTTTATAAATGGATAAGTAAGTATAACTTTCCTTTCGAAGAAGAGCTTATGATTGATTTGTCATCTTTTATCTCTAAATACATAGAGTTGTATCCGAAGCGTAAGAACTTAATTAGCAAAGACTATATTTTATACCAAATGTTACGGAAAAGAGGTGGTTATGAGGTCCCACTTAAGCTACCTAAACTGATGACAACGCTAGCTCAGAATGAAGAAATCTGCAGAACCATCTTCGATGCATTAAATTGGAGCACAAATATGGGTGCGATGACCCCAATGAGTGAATTATAATTTTTAATAGCTTTCGTCGGCTATTAAAAATAAACTAAATCCTTCTTATCAATCCAGCTAGTCTCAGGATAGCCTAACCATTTTACTAGATATTTGTCCCCTTTCTTTTTGATGACTTTTTCAATCTTATATACGTTGTCTTTCTTATCATACTTTACCAATTCATTTTCATAAAAGTACCTTTAACCTCTTCATTATTTAAATCCTGAACTCTATAAGTGATTGGATCAGTTTTCTAATACTTCAGAAATGACAAATATTTCTTCTGTAAAAGTTGCTTGATAACCTCTTCTGAAGGCAGACTTATATATTGATATTCTTACTTTATCTCCTACTTGGTATTTAGGTTTATGTATGACCTTTTCTTTAAACAAATTGTGATACACATCACCACTGTTTTCTTTTAGACTGGCTTCAACAGGTGTCATTTTGATACTTCTGTGGTAGGAATTGTTATAATTTTTTTACTAACTGACTCAATACATCTATGTATCTTTTTGTATTGTTTGCTGCTAAATATTTTCTAATTTTACCGTTTAAAGTTCTGTTGAACCTTTCCACTATGGAGCACTTGATTTCGACATTTTCAGTAGTAAACCAGTGAATATTATTCTCTTTAAACAGTTGTTGCGTCTCTTTGTTAATGAACTCGGTCCCCTTGTCTGTCTGAATTTTTTTGAGGAATTCTTTCCTTAAAGATCTTTTTAAACGCTATAGTAACTTCTTCTCCCGTTTTTCTGCGAACTGGTATAGCCCAAGCATATTTGCTAAAAATGTCTATGACTGTTAGTAAGTAGTTGTTACCATCATTAGAACTTGATAATGGTTTTAAAAATAGCAAGTCTGCTTGCCATTGGTCGTCAATGTGTGATACGTAAGTTCTCCTTCTTTTGAATTTACGGATAAGTGGTTTGTGTTTGGTATAAACATCTTGCTGGTGTAAGAACTCTTCGATATCCTTTCTAGGAACATGCACCTTCCTCTGAAGCTCCTTGATGCCGCAATATCCAGTTTCAGGATCATAGTACACATCTCTCAGTCTAGGGGTGTTCTGAGTTACCCCGTCAACTTTAAAAAAGAACTTTTCCTTGATCCACACTTTTCACACTTTCCTTTCATAATAGGCCTTCCGTTGCTTGTTACCGAATTTTCAACATTTAGTGTACCTGTCTTCTTTTTACAAATCAAGCAATATGTCACAATAGCACCTAGTCCAAAAACTCTTTTGGTTTTTATGATAGGTCGGATGATAGCCCTAGCTTGTTTTTCTCCGAGTGGATAAAATCCGCTGTTTGGGTTTTCAATGGCATCTAAATCCTTTAAAAGCTCTTCATCTGCAACATGTCTCTGTCTAGTGTCTTTTGTTTGACTGTATGCTATGTCATGCTTCTTACATGCTTTTATCTACTCTGTTAACTCCTGGATCCCCTCTAGTCAATCTTTTAGAAAGCTTTGTAAAGGTCCACAGTACTGATAACCAGGAAGATGCATTTCTGGTGGATTGAGCTTATCTTGCATCCAACCGACTAAATCTCCACCTTTAATCTTTCTATCTTGTTTGCTCATTTATTAAGAATAGAAAATTATTTTTCGTACCCGTTCAAACCTTTCTCCTTTAAATATTTTTCCATGGGGAAGTACTTCAAGTCCTTAATAAATTCTTGCTCTTTAATCAAAGCTTCCTCCTCCGAAATAGTCTTTGCTCTCAAGCAATTTAGTAAAGACTTTATAAAACTTGTAGGCAAACTTGTATTCTTCTTTCCTTTCTGCGA